TGGTGGTGCGAAGCACTCTCCGTGGCAATTTTTTCAAATTTTCCAAAATGTAAGTTTCAGCACTTTTCAAGGTTTATGGAGTTAATTTTCATTGTTTGCAGGCGTCGCTGGGTTGTTGTTTAGCTCTCTGCAGTGGTCTTAGCCGGAATTTACCCAGACGGAATTTCTGAAACCTGCATATTTTCCAGAAATTTGGATTTTGTTTTTGAAAACCCATTGAAAAATGTGTTTTTTTTCTTTTGTTGAAAACTTTTTGTTTGCTTCCACTTTATCTGGCAAGATAGCATGTAGGAATCACAAAATGATTTGTTTTAAACCAACCATTTCACAGAATGCATTCTAGATTTTTTTGGACGCCGCGTTTCTTGCAATGTTTTTTGAAAATTTTCAAAATTAAAAATTTTGATCCAGTTGGCTTAGTTGCAAAAAGTTAGTAAGGCTCATTTTGTTTTCAGATCATTGTTAACAATGTTTCTCAAACAAGAAAAAGTTGAAAAAAAAAAAAATCAGTGTTTTTCTGGTTTTAAATGTTTGTCATTTTGAATTGCAAAATAATTTGCTTGGCATCTCCATTTGCTCAAGTTTGGTGTTGCCTTGCATGTGTCAGGCCAGACAGCTGAAAAACACAGCCAAAGTTTTTTTGAGGTTATGTTTCTTTGCTGGTGGCTTTGTTGAGTTTTTGCAGGTGCAAACAGGAAAATGCACGTAAAGTCAGCAGAAAAAAAAATGGGCTGAGTTTGAAGGCTGCAACGACCGCAATTGCAGACCGCGACGGCGACGCGTGGGTGGTGGCGGGCCGTGGACATGAGTCATGACTCAATGACTTGTAACTCATGACTATGACATGACTCATGACTCATGACTCCCATGTCTTTGCCTCGCCAGGAAAACGTATGACTCGGACAGGTCGGGCAGCACCTTCCAGGGAATCCGAATCGTCAATCCAGCTTGGCCGCATCAAAATCCAAGCTGGCAACGACCTTCCAATGTGTCTCGCCTGCAGCAGCAGCCTCCTCCTGCAAGGCAGAGAAGAATCAGAATAAGGTCAGAGTCAAATACTGGAACCCATTAATTATCAACAAACATGTACTGCCCCCCTTGAATACAAAAGATGCCTTGGGTATCTGCTGAGGCAATCTGCGAAAATGTCTGCCAACCTCAATCCCTATCAGTTCTGTCAACCCCATTACTCCTCGGGCGCGGAGACCGCCGCCGAACCACTTCGGAGTTAGTGCAGCAAAGCTCTGCGCTAGCGGTTGCTTGTTGTCACAACTTCTAGCTGGCTTGTGCAGTTTAACTCTCTTAGTGCATGTCTGTTTTTGCTTTGATTGTTGTCCACAGAAGATATTGGGCTGCTGACGCTGTAAAAAAGGCGACCAACTTGCAAATCTAATAAGATATATGCAGAAGCAATCACCCAGAACGGTCACAACGTGGTCACAACGCGGTCACATCTCCTGTCGGATTGCAGCTGCAGTGGCAAAATGCATTGTTTCATTCCTCTTTAAATCGACGTCTGTTTGTCGGTTCAAACAGAGTACCTTTGAGCCTAAAAACCCGACCCTCAAACCTGAAAATAAACCCTGGACACTTAGCCCGTCGTAGGTAATGGGGCCATGTAATCCATGTGGCCCCCTGATTTGATGCCAAGCAGAGAGTGCTTCGCACCCCCATTTTGCCGTGGTGGCCGCATTACTGCAGATCGCAAAGCCTTCCGGATAGATGGGTCAAGCTGTGTTATTGGCATGGGTTCCAAGAAGGCGTCACCAGAAAGCTTTGGACCGGCAAGCTTGGAAGTGTCTTATCCAGAAAGGTCTTGATCAGGCCATGTTCCAGAATTATTGTAATAATACCTTTCTTGTTCATTGTGCGCAGGCGGATGCGGCAAACATAACGCGATGTGTTCAAAACTGCCTGCGTGCGAACATAATCGCGTTTGCGGGTTGACCTGGTTTTGCCTGAATATGCAAGAGGGCTGTAGACAAAGGTTATGAGCAACCGAGGGCAGGTCTCAACTTGCTTCAGCACGCGATGCCTCTGCGAATGTTGCGATTAACAGCCTCGTCCGGCCCCAACCCCCCTCCTACTTGGGTTTTTTGCCTCGAGAGGAAGCTTCTGAAACCGACCGACATCAATGGTGCCGCGGGCAAACTTGCGGGCGTGCGCGCGGAAGTCATTAACACGCATACAAGCAACATGCCCCAGCCACCGCATCTGATCACGTTCAAAGGCGGCCTGCACTGGTGGAATCAAGCTTAGCACGCAACCGGCAGGAATTGCATCATCATCAAAACACTCTTGTCGAAACATCAGCCACGTTAGATTTAGCGGGGGGCTTAGTGGCCTACCGCATGTCGTGCTCTAAAGATTCATGTTAGTAAATTTCTCTTGATGGGGCCATCACCTTTGCTCAAAGGGGGGCTTAAGGGGGGGCTTAAGGGGGGCTTAAGGGGGGGCTTAAGGGGGGGGCAAAGGGGGGGGGCTTGAAGGGGGGCTTGGGCTAAGGGGGGGCTAAAGGGGTTAAGGGGGGGCTTAAGGGGGCTTAAAGGGGGGCTTAAAGGGGGCTTAAAGGGGGGCTTAAAGGGGGCTTAAAGGGGGCTTGAAGGGGGGCTTAAAGGGGGGCTTAAAGGGGGCTTCAAGGGGGGCTTAAAGGGGGCTTCAAGGGGGGCTTGAAGGGGGGCTTCAAGGGGGCTTTGAAGGGGGCTTGTGGGGAGGGCTTAAAGGGGCTGAAAAAAGGGGGGCTTGAGGGCGACTCTAAACATTACTTTATCTTTAAGATGAGAGAGAAGGGATTTATTCTAAATTCCACCCCCCTCGAATCTTGTTTTGTTTTTTGGATTTCGTTTTTCGAAACTAGAGAAGTGAGACTCTAACTTCCATTTGAAAAGAGAGAGAGAGAGAGAGAGAGAGAGAGAGAGAGAGAGAGAGAGAGAGAGGGAGAGAGGAAGAGAGAGGAATTTATTCTAAATTCCACCCCCCTCGAATCTTGTTATATTTTTGTATTTTTTTTGGGATTTCATCATTCGAAACCAGAGAAGTGAGACTCTAAACATACATTTCCCTTTACGAAGCGAAAGAAGGGAATGTATTCTAAATTCCACTCCCCTCGAATCTTGTTTTACATTTTGTGTTTGTTTTTGGATTTCATTCTTCGAAACCAGAGAAGTGAGACTCTAAACATTCATTTCCCTTTACGAAAAGAAAGAAGGGAATGTATTCTAAATTCCACCCCCCCTCGAATCTTGTTTTGTTTTTTGGGTTTCATTCTTCGAAACCAGAGAAGTGGCACTCTTTTTAAAGGGGAGCTTAAGGGCAATTCCACCCCGCTCGCTTCTTCTTTTGTTTTTTGTGTTCATTACTCGAGTTTCAAGGAGCAGAGAGTTCATAGCAGTGACGTGGCGCGGGGCTAAGCCGAGAACCCCATGTTTTTTTTTCAGAGATGATTCATATGCTTCCACGCGAGCTTGCCCGGCAGAAAAAAGCGGGGGGGTTGGGGGGGGCGCAGCCCCCCCCATTTGCATAGCAGTGACGTGGCGCGGGGCTAAGCCGAGAACCCCATGTTTTGTTTTGTTTTGGACATGATTCATATGCTTCCACGCGAGTTTGCCCGGCTTAAACAAGCGGGGGGGTTGGGGGGGGCGCAGCCCCCCCCATTTGCAAACACGATGCTCGCGTTGGGCCTCTTAAACTGCTGCCTAAATCCTCCACCGAAGGCCCAGCAAGGTATTACGCCTCTTAGACGTCTTAAACTGCTGCCCGAACCCTCCACAAAAGGCCCAGCGAGTATTCGGCCTTTTAAACTGCTGCCTAAATCCTCCACAGAAGGCCCAGCAAGTATTACGCCTTTTAAACTGCTGCCCAAACCCTCCACAAAAGGCCCAGCAAGTGTCAGGCCTCTTAAACTGCTGCCTAAACCCTCCGCAGAAGGCCCAGCAAGTGTTGCGCCTTTTAAACTGCTGCCCAAACCCTCCAAAAAAGGCCCAGCAAGTATTAGGCCTCTTAAACTGCTGCTTAAACCCTCCGCAGAAGGCCCAGCAAGTATTACGCCTCTTAAATTGCTGCCCAAAGGCCCAGCAAGTATTAGGCCTCTTAAACTGCTGCCTAAACCCTCCACAGAGGGGGGGGCTTGGTTGCGGCTTCAGTGGGGAACTTTAGGGGGGGGCTTTAAGGGGGCTTAAAAAGAGGGGCTTAACGGGGGGGCTTTAAGCCCCTTAAAACGGGGGGGCCTTCAAGAGGGCTCCAAGGGGGCTTTTTAAAGGGGGGCTTAAAGGGGGGCTTAAAGGGGGGCTTAAAGGGGGGCTTAAAGGGGGGGTTGAAGGGGGCTTTAAGGGGGGGCTTAAGGGGGGGGCTTAAGGGGGGCTTAAAGGGGGGCTTAAGGGGGGGCTTAAGGGGGGGCTTAAGGGGGGGCTTAAGGGGGGGCTTAAGGGGGGCTTAAGGGGGGGCTTAAGGGCTTTGACCCTTTGCCCCCCGCCCCCCCCCCGAAGGGACCCCCTTTGCAGGGACCCCTTTGAAGGGGGGCTTAAGGGGGGCTTAAAGGGGGGCTTAAAGGGGGGCTTAAGCCCCCCTTTGCCCAAAGGGGGGGGGCCCATCCTCAAATTTCTTCAGTTCTCTCTTCTTCCTTCTCTTTCCCACTTTTTGCAACCACCTATAGAAGTGTGAAATCGGTCAGCCAGGTCGTGCAATTTTCACGCAGGCTGGCACCTCTTCAAGCGGCCTTCTTGGCACATTGATGTTTTCTAATGCTCAAGGCCCCACATTTGGAAGTTTCACTTCCGCTTGGTCCGTCTCCAAACCTTGCTTGCACGTGCCCATGCCCGAGAGACACACAAGCAACAGCAACGGGATGGTCAGAACAAACATTGTGGCCAGAACCGTAACAGCACCATCCAGCGTCTTCTTGTGCCAAGATGCTGCCTGACCATTTTCTTGTTTGTCCCCAAGGCCATTAATAACTTAGTCGAAGAGGCGGCCAAATCCTGGTTAAAATCTGGAAAGTCAGGATGCCTGCATCTGTTGGAAAGGACGCTGGACGTTTGCGCAATCTTAGCTCTGGGCGCTTGGACATGATGTCTGCGGCAGTCGCAGGGCGCGCGCCATGCAGTTTTGAAATGCAAGCGAAGACTGCAGACAGTGAAGTGCATTTGGCAGTTGTCAGGCTGTACTGGTGCATTGCATTGCAGGCAATTGCAGGGAGATTCTACTGGTGCTCCACAATATCGGCCACGGGCCATCACGCGTACCTGGCAGAAGAGACAAGAGGCAGCTTTGCATTTATAGTGTTTTGGATTCACAGCTGTTATAACATCTAGCGAACTGCACACTCTGCATTACATGTACGGTGCAAGACTTGCACGTGCAGTGCGGATTTGTGGTCTTGGAGACCACACGCAGAAGGTTTAGCATCCTGTGGCTTTTTGACGTGAAATCATGCTCACGGGTCCGCTGGAGCCACCGGAGGCGGCTTCCATCTGGTTGGAGCCGTGAGCTCCCATTCCAAAAACGCATGGATGCGTTCAGGTTGCAGATTTACAACATACCAGTGCGTGGCCAGCCATTCAGGTGTGAGGGCGTGCGCACAGAGGTCATGGCACTCCGAAAAATAGTGCCCCCACTGAAGTCCCAAGGCCAGGATTGCTTGATTATGTACCATTCTACTGGGCCTGAGCAACCTAACTCTACGGCCATGCAGTGACGCTTCATGCTGTCTGACCATGTTGAGATAGTCCCATGCTTCATCTGGTAGATCAAGAGCATGAGTGTTGACATGAGTGAGTGCCCGATATACTCGATCAGTGGTTGGCTGTTGGAACTTAGTCCAGATCCATCTGTCCCACTCTGCAGGCTGCAGAGTTCTGCGTCGTCTTCGACACCATGCCAACACCGCACTGCGTCGTCGAGGCTCTCTGTTTTGGAGGACGAGAAAATCGTCAACTTCTCTGATGAGGGTCTCTTCTCTGAGATTGGTAATGCATTCCTGCAGGTGGCGCTCACATTCTGCGCGCAAGTCGTTCTCCGGGGCCAGATCAGGCTCCCATTGCTATACACCTCCTGTAGCAAAAGTGCTGTGGCACAAAGGCACGGCAAGTGGAGTAGACATAGGGGTGGATGGCTGAGCAATGACTGATCCGGGCGGAGCACGCGCAATGCTGTGAGCAGAATATGAGCCGCACAAGCAAGTCAAGGGTCAAGCAAGATCGAGTGCTGTAGCTCAAAGCAATTTGAGCACCCCAAACAATGCAAGGGCCTTGTTCAGCAAAGCAAATCAAAAGGTGCTTGGTTTGGGACCTATAAAGGAAGAGCACACGATTGCATGTAGGGGAGCCACATCTTCGACCCTTGGTCGTATCATGTACTTGTTCATGTATGTTTTATAAACTATGTTCGTGCATCATTTTGGCTCTGGAGTGGTGCTTGCTAGCGAGAAAGTCAAGTTTTTCCACGGCATGCTTTCTTCATGGAAAGTCTTCTTATCCATGTTTTCTCAAAGTGCTTTATCTATTTTTGTACCACCTTGGCATTCAGCATTGTCGTCTTTGTGATAACTCTCCGGGGGGAGCGGGCTCACTCCAAAGTGAGTGCATGGAAGTATCGGGTGCTGGGCTTGACGCCTCTGCAGAGCAATTGCAGCTTCGAGTTCGAGAGTTGCAGAGCCAGTTGGAAGCCCTTCATACACACATTGCAGTCTTAGAAGAGCGTGTGCATCGTATTGAGCAGGAAGATCAGAGGGTCCGTCGGGATCTGCGCGGCCATACTGGCACCACTAGCATCGGCTGCCTTTCAGTTCGGCTCTTGCACCTTGAGAGTTGCTTCAGCTTTCTTGTGCGTGCAGTTCAGACCAGCTTCCCAAGGCCTCCAGGTTTTTGGCAAAGCTTGATTGAAGACTAGAGGGTGGTAGGATGAAACGCCCGACGGATCCTGATGATAAGCGTTTCAGTAAAGCAAAGAGCAAGTGTGCACCACCGCCCCTGGGGGGGCTTGCGCTACCAGTAGAAAAACCTAAAGGAACCGCTCCCCCTCTGCCGGCGGCAGGTCTTGCCCAACCTTTGTACTCCCAGGGACGCCGCATTGAGCCAGTTCCACATGCCGGGCAACCTCTGCCCGTTCCTGCTGCGACGTCCAGCAGGAGCGATTGTGATTCCGATGCTGAAGAAGAATCAGCCAGGCACTTTGCCAGGTTTCGGCAGTTCTCTTTAGAGTCCAACCAACAGCAGCAAAGTACTTCATCTCTCTTGTCGAAAGCTGTCTCGAAGAGAAAGCCCGCAAAGGCTGTGGATTCCCACCATCCCAAGTTCCAGCAGATTGCAGGTTTCTCCCAGATGGCCTTGTCACTATTTTGGGGCGTTCTTGTTTTTATGGGTGATTGTAGTGGATTGTTCAAGCAGATCCAGTGCTCCGAATTTGCCAGTCATCACACCTCGCGGATTCTTTCAGGGTATGCCACGAACACGGTGCTACGTTACCTGGCAGCTTGGTCACATTTTGTGGCGAACCTTGAAGGGTTAGGCCTCTGTTTTGGCAATCTTGACAGTGTTATGATGGCAGACATACTAGTCACCATGTCCCTTGAGAAGCATGGAGACCCTACTCTGGGTTCAAGCTGTTGCATGACAATCAAAGCACTTCGTTGGCTATGCAAGGTCGCAGAATGTACAATCTTATCGTGCGCGTATGAAAAAGTGATTGATTCCTTTCTGAAGTCAAAAATTCCTCGTGAACGCCGGGAGAGTTTCCCACTACCCACTTGGGTGCTTCAGCTGTGGGAAAGGCGCATCTTGATGAAGCAGGCGTCACTTCTTGAAGTGGTTGTGCTTGGTGGTTTTTTGGTTGCGGCCTGGGGCTCATTGCGATTTGCTGATCTTCAACGCGTGGAGTGGAGTTCATTATCTTTTGATTTGCATGTCCTTCGTGGTACGTGTTATGCGACCAAAACATGTCACACCGGGCAGCCCTGGGGCATCCTTGCGTCAGGCATTCTGTCTCGCGGAACGCATTCTTGGGTCAGCAAATACCTGCATGCCCTTGACAGGCTTGTTACAATGCATGTTCGAAACCACACAGATTCGTGGCTTCCATCGTTCTTACTTCCAGCAGTGCAAGGCGAAAGTTTCATGTTCCCCCTGCAAGCTATGAGCTATGCTGAGGCGTTGAGGTGGTTGAGGCATTTTCTCCTCATGCCTTGGGCGTCCTCACCACCAGAGGTACCGCCCCTCAATTTCACGGTGCATAGTCTCAAAGCCACCATGCTTTCCATGTCCCTTCAAGTCAATGTTGATGAGGTTGATAGGAAACGTCAAGGGCACCACCGCATAAGCAGCTCCGCTCTTTATTCCCGTGACGATGTTCATGGCATGCTTCGGTGCCAAACTTGCATTCGTGATAGCATTCGCACAGGCTTCCGATTTTTGGTCCCCCAGCACAGAGGGGGGCAGCAGCCCTTGACGCCAGCGTATGTTCCACCGGAAGCTTTCTCTAAGGACTACGAGTTTGAACCCTTCCAGTGGTTCTCGTTTCAACTTGATGGCAGTGATGATTTACTTCAGAGCAGTAATGGGAGTTGGGAGGTCGCAGAAAATCAATTAGTCACCCCTGATCCAGACACAGAGGCGCTGGACAAAGATCTCGTGTATCACTCTGACCCAGGATCTTCAGATGAGAGCGAGGAGGAACCTTCGGCACCCCCAGCCGAGGAGCACAACTTAGGTGAGCCCGATGAATTCTTGCTGGGCTCCTGCACCGCGGTGTTGCATGTGCTCTGCCCTGCAGATGCTTTATCAGGCACACTTGTCAATGGCACATATATGCGTGCAAAGTGTGGTGCCACTCTTCCGGCCGATCGGCTCATGATCCACACATCAGTGCCATCTTCGTGTCGGTTGTGCAGACGCGGTGCATGCTTGGCAGCTTTATCTAGCTTCTCAGAGGAGTGAGCTTCAATGTCCGTTTCAGAAAAGTGTGTTTGTTGTTCTGCGTATGCATCAGTGAAACAGCAGGCTGTCATGTTGCACATGTTCACCAAGGGTTAGATTGCTGATATGATCTTGACATGATTCTTGGCGGATCTGCAGGCAGGCACTCGATTGGTCTAGCAAATCCCAAAGGGAAAGATCTTTAGATTCGTTGCGTCTTGCAAGGGTTTCACGTTCTGGTAAGGCGAAGCCCTGGAAGCTATGTACATTTTAGACATGTTGCTTAGCATGATGATCTAGCTCACGAGAACAAAGCTCACTCATCCTATCCAGGTATCAAGAATTGTTCTAGCGCTGAGTACCAACATTAGCCCTGCGTTATCTTTGCTTGACATGGCTGACTCTGAGTTGGAGAGTGCACTGGCGAAGGAAGGCCTAGCAGCAGAGGTCATCAAAGTGGCCACGGAAGGGGGCTGGACAGCCTCGGCTTTCAAACATGTCGTTGAAACCCAGGCAGAAGTTGAGGGAGCCATCCCCGAGATCTTCCCAGGTCAGGTTTTGTCCCGGTTGCAGATTGCCCAAATCAAAGCAGCGTGGGCGGGCATGCAAGCATCCAGCTCCTCTAGTGTTTCGCCGGCCCCAGTCAATGCAGATCCTACTTTGGAGACATGGGTGAGAGTTTTGCTCCCAAACTTGCATCCACGAAGCTGTCCGACATGAAGCGCCAATTCCTTGCAAACTACCCAAGTGAGGTCTTGAATCCATCTACTCTACCCTCTTTGAGGCTGATTTCCCTCGCAGCCCATCAAGAGGCACGGTCGGAGTATAAATGGATAGCTTGGAAACATCGCATGACGGAAGAGAAAGCTTCGGAGTTGTTGATTGCCCGACCCCACAAACAGCCCAAGCTCGAAATGCTGGGTCTTTCCAGCTACAATCGAAGTGACCGATGCCAATATGGGGATCAGTGGTATCCAGCGGATCTTGGCAGTGCATGACGTTGCATTAGCCATGGTTGGCTCAGCGCACCTTGCCCGCCTCAAAGCCTATAGCTGCAAGTTTGTCCAGCTCGTGTCCCAGCGTTTCGACCCAGCATCAGGACTGCGTGCACCGACAATTCTAGAAGCGCAACAGGCAGATTGTCGGATTTGGCAGAGCATCCACTCTTTGGTCAGTGAGAAAGCCTGGAGCTTGAATGACGCGTTGCATGAGTTCACAGAAATTAGAGGTGAGCTCAGCACCTTGTTGCAGGCTCGTCCGAAAGCCTTGTTCATCCCCCGCGGCCCTGATCTGAAAGGCAAGGGCAAGCAGGTTGGTCAGTGGAAAGGCCTGGGCAAGGGCCGTGGCAAGGACAAGGGCGGTAAGCCCAAGGGCGCTCCAGGGAGGCACATCACCTTCGTGAAAGAAATCCAGGTAGGATCCGAGAAGAAAGGGCTGTGCGTCCAGTGGCAGATTGGACGTTGCACAAGGGGGGGCTCCTGCCCCTTTGTTCATGCATGTGCATACCCCAAGCAGGATGGATCAGCGTGCGGGAGCAAGTCGCACACAGCCTCGCAGCATGAGCAGACGCCTCACTGATTCGCCCCAATCCCTGGGCCGTTGCAGAAATCCCCGAATTCAGATATGCCGTCTACAGAAGTATCACCCCCAGATGCCCCGCTTTCTTTGCACGCTCATGCTGAGCCGGTTCATTCAAACCCTTCATCGCTTTGTATGTCAGTATCACCATCACAGCCTCATGCAGCAAAGCACCAGGCAGGTGCAAGCCGTATCGCTGGATATGATATCCAGCCTGCAGCTCGGCCATCCGAGCCCGTACATGTCACTCCCAAATCGGCCTCCTTGTTGGAGCGAAATGCTGGGCCTGTGTCGTCGCCAGCAATGCAATGTCCTCGGGGCAACATTCCTTCACAACCCGTGTTGGGTCATGTCGTAAGCAACACACCTGGTCGTTCCAGTGATGCAGTAACACCCGGGCAGGTGGGTGTTACACGTGTTGCAGAAGAAAGTTCTTCATGCAGACACGACTTCCAGTCCTGTCTTCAGGCGTTACTGTCGGCCTCTTGGCCTCCACGCGTTCTTCCCGCCAGGAGCGTTACTTCAGCGGCTCCGGGGGAATCGGGCTACTGGAACTTTGGGGTGCGCATAGGTAATCCTTCTGCCCGCTCTTCAGTTACAGATGCACTTCCAAAATTGTGTGCAAGCCTTAATGGTTTCCTGTGCCAACTGTTCCCAGGTGAGACCTGGAATGCCTTGTGTGTCAGCAGGAATATCCTGACGTCCCCGCACAAGGACACAGCAAATTTGCCGGGGTCGTCAAACTTGACAGTGGGTATAGGTTCGTGCTCGGATGGAGGTCTTTGGATAGAGGATCAAGCAGGCACTGTGCCTCAGTTCATTCCCAAGCTTGGGGTGACTCTCATGGGGAAGATCGTCAGAACGCATCATGAGCCATTTAAGTTCCCGGTGCACCTATGGCATTGCACCCAACCATGGCTTGGTGATCGCTGGGTGCTGACGGCCTTTACCCTCCCAGGTGTGTCAGGCGATACACTTCGAGATCTGGGATTCCCTTGGCCCCAGCCACGGAACATCCCCCCGGGACCGACCCCTAAACCTGTAAATTGCCCCCCCACCCAGGAGCCACTCCCTTCTTCGGGGGTCAATTGGGGAAAACCTTCTCCAAAGGGGTTTGTTAACCACAGCTTGATCCTGCAGCCCCAAACGCCTCGGCCACCACCATCTTCGCCTGTCCTAAATCACTCAGCGCTGCAGCAGTCTTCAAGGATCTTTCTGGACATTTGTTCGGGTGCGGAGAAGCCTCTGTCATCAGCTGTGCAGGAGTTAGGTTTCCCAACACTGGCAGTTGATATCCTGTTGGATAGCAGCATGGACATTCTCGATAATACTTTTTTCGAGCAACTGTTGTTCATCTGTGGCTCAGGGGTTGTGGGGTATTGTGCGGCATCTCCCTACTGCTCAGAATACTCCCGCCTGAAGCTCTTTGGAGGTCCGCCTTTTGCCATCCGCACCCCAACCCAGCTAGGGGGCCTGGAGAATTTGCACCCATTAGCTCAGGCTCGTATACAAACAAGTCACGAGATGCTTTTCAGGGCATGCAAATGTCTTCAAGTAGTCCATGGGGCCGGAGGCCATGGCCATTTGGAGCAACCATCAGGTGCCATGTCCTGGGATGAAGCCTGCGTTCAAGGCTGGTTGCATTGTGGGTCCACAGCTCTCATTGTTCTCCCAGCCTGTGCATTTGGGGAGAACTGGGCAAAAACTTGGCTGTTTGCATCGAGCTTTCAAGCCCTCTCGGTGATGGGGCAGACGTGTCAACACGGACGCAATGCTCACGAGTCCGTGCAAAGACGTGAGAGTGATGGTTCGTTCAGAAGCCGTAAGACTGCTAAGTACCCTGAATGCCTGGCTGCCGAATTCGCGTTGCACATCAGGCCGCTTCTTGCAGGTGCACAGATCGAACACACCCTTGCCACAGCGTCGGCGTTGGTACCTGTCAAGGCCCTGGACGTTGGACCGTGGGTGATCCACGATGGGGCAGGTCGCCACTCTTGTGGGGATTGGAGCACTCCATTAAGTCAGGATAAGCTAAAAAATCTTAGGACATACCTTTTGGGGAAAGTTTGCGACATGCAAGGCCCCAAACGCCTGCTTGCTAAAGCCACTTGGCCTAATCCTGAGCCCCTTTTCTCCGAGTTGGAGGTGCAGGATGCGCGCACAGACTTCTTCTCCTGCCTAGGTATGGCGACGGATGCAAATACATGGGAGGTCCGTGAGCATCAACCTTTGCATCTGCATGCGCTTGAGGCACTTGCCTGTTTTTGTGGTGATCCGGATGTGAGTCTTTGCAAATCCCTTTTGCAAGGCGTCCCCACAGGGTATAACAACGATATCCCGGTGTCAAATTGTTTTTGGCCGAATCAGAAGGAGAACTTGGAGGATGTATCACTTTCCATCCACATGCAGAATTGGCGCTCGGCCTCAGTTGATCCGTCAGTGACTCAGGCTTTGCTGCAGGAGGAAATTGATCAGGGTTTTTGCTTCAAGTTTGATGGCGATATTGAAGCAGCTAAAGCAAAATGGCCGGGTGCACTGGCGATAGGGAAGTTATCAGTGGTCCGTGCGCCAAATCGATCGGAAAGGTTGGTCTTAGATAACTCAGTTTGTGGCACGAATGCAAGTTGCAGCGTTCCGGAAGTCCAGCACATGCCATCAGTGAGGGACGTGATGCACTGTTTTCCCCTTCGGGGCACTCGCTCGCGGCAAGCTGCCATATCTCTTGACGTCAAAAGTGCTCACAAACGCTGTGTTGTCAAGGAGTCAGAGCAGGGTCTCCTAGGTTTCGCTTTTGCAGATTCCCTGTACTTCTATCGCGTGGCCCCATTCGGGGCGGTCTTTGCACAGCATTGGTGGGGGCGCTTAGGCTCCTGCCTCCTTCGGTTGTTACATATCTTGATTTGGTTCAGCCATGCAGGCCACTTGTTTGTGGACGACTACTTGTTTTCTCAGGCGGAAGGCGTCCTGCCAGCAACAGGGGCAATGATCTGCCTCTTCCTCCAGGTTCTGGGGGTACCTTTGAGTTGGAAGAAACTTCAAGTCAGCTCTCGAGTTCATTGGATAGGGTGGTGTTTTTGTTACACCTCCGGGGTAGTTTCGCTTGCAGAGGAGAAACGGTTAAAACTTTTGGGGATGGTTCAAGATCTTCAGCGTAATCCAAAAATTTCACGCAAGGATTTGGAGAGGTTTGTCGGGCTCGCTCTTTGGGCTGCGCACCTTTTCCCGACAATGAAGTCGCTTTTGTACACCTTCTATCATGATCTTTTTAGCCCAGCTGCTACCAACTACTCGGTGGCCCCAGATGTTTGGCCACAGCTTCGTTATCACTTGACGGACTCCCTGCAGTTCAAATCAGTCCCTCCAGGTACAGCAATTCCGCTCCACAGCACACTCTTGTCAGTTCGCCATCAGGATTTGTCAACTTTGTCTGACTTGGATCGAGTGCGCATTACAGACAGGCGGGTTTGGATGCGCGTGTCAAGTCAATCAAGCTCAAAGCGCAAGTTGAGCCCCGAGTCAGTGCGTATTTTGGGTTTGTTTGAACACTGGCTTTTGCATATGTGCCCATTCTGCAGCATGCGCCCCTTAGGCAATGCATCCTTTGAGGCAAGAGCAGATGCAAGTGTTGCATTGGTGGGTACGTTTCTCACCCCACGATAGGCCAGCGTTGGTTTCGCGAAAGTTTTCCCTACAGTGCCTTCAGGGCCCTTGAGATTCCTGTGCAAGCAGACATGCAGCTTGATATTGCTTGCTATGAAGCGCTCGCCCAAGGAGCGCTGATCTTGGCAACATCTTCTCTTTTACCTTGCGCCAGAATCCCCTTGCAACTACGTTCCGCATCAGACAACACAGGTGCAGAAGCAGGTGTGAACGCTTCCTTCTCCACCGCTCGGCCTCTCTGTTTTTTCCTAGAAAGGATCTCTTTGCTAGCAGCTGTACATAGAACAACGCTGGATGTGTCACACATCTCCGGGGAACGCAACGTTAAGGCTGATGCCTTATCTCGTCCTGCTGAATATGAGATTCCCCCTGATTGCCTTGAAAAGGACAGAGTGCGGCTGTCACTCGAGGCCCTTTGGTTGCCTCGTCCACAAATTTCTGTCTTCCCCGAAGGGGCTCACCTTCCATGGTCTGTGCGGAGCAGGGGAGTGCCGAACAACCTCACATAGGTTTGGGGTTTTTCTGGGGCGAGGTTGCTGGGTAGTTTGATTTGGGGTAATATGGTCCCACCCATCAACCTTCTTTGTGCATCGTTAACTGTTTCCTCGAGTGGACGTTGGTGAGGATTTCCGGCACTCCAGAGAAAACAAAGCGTGGAGCGAAGCTCGCTGCCTTTTGAAGCCTCCGGCTATACCGCTAGCAAGCACAACTAGTTTATAGAACGTATCATGTACTTGTTCATGTATGTTTTATGAACTATGTTCGTGCGTCATTTTGGCTCTAGAGTGGTGCTTGCTAGCGAGAAAGTCAAGTTTTTCCACACCCACCCACCCCAGGCTTTGGGGCCCTCGTCTCACCGGCGCTGGCCAGAAGAACATTCAAGACCTCGTTACAAGAAAGTGGGCTCTCGGGGCGGGCCTTAGCAAAAAAGCAGTATCACCAGGAAGTCTCACTTGTAGGGCAGTTCTTTTGCAGCAGGTCCATCTGGGCTTCTTGGTTCACATTTGCACAGTTATGTTTTCGTATGGGCGGCCAAAAAAGCTGGCTGGTCATGTTTACTCCGTACAGGCCACTTTTTACTTTGCATCATGTTGATGATGACCGGAGAGATGTGGTGTGCGCCTAAATCGTTTACCGTACTTTGCTTGTGTTGGTCAAGTTCAGCTTCGGTCTGTCATGGGTGGGGTAATATGGTCCCACCCATCAACCTTCTTTGTGCATCGTTAGCTGTTCCTCGAGTGGACGTTGGTGAGGATTTCCGGCACTCCAGAGAAAACAAAGCGTGGAGCGAAGCTCGCTGCCTTTTGAAGCCTCCGGCTATACCGCTAGCAAGCACAACTAGTTTATAGAACGTATCATGTACTTGTTCATGTATGTTTTATAAACTATGTTCGTGCGTCATTTTGGCTCTAGAGTGGTGCTTGCTAGCGAGAAAGTCAAGTTTTTCCACACCCACCCACCCCAGGCTTTGGGGCCCTCGTCTCACCGGCGCTGGCCAGAAGAACATTCAAGACCTCGTTACAAGAAAGTGGGCTCTCGGGGCGGGCCTTAGCAAAAAAGCAGTATCACCAGGAAGTCTCACTTGTAGGGCAGTTCTTTTGCAGCAGGTCCATCTGGGCTTCTTGGTTCACATTTGCACAGTTATGTTTTCGTATGGGCGGCCAAAAAAGCTGGCTGGTCATGTTTACTCCGTACAGGCCACTTTTTACTTTGCATCATGTTGATGATGACCGGAGAGATGTGGTGTGCGCCTAAATCGTTTACCGTACTTTGCTTGTGTTGGTCAAGTTCAGCTTCGGTCTGTCATGGGTGGGGTAATATGGTCCCACCCATCAACCTTCTTTGTGCATCGTTAGCTGTTCCTCGAGTGGACGTTGGTGAGGATTTCCGGCACTCCAGAGAAAACAAAGCGTGGAGCGAAGCTCGCTGCCTTTTGAAGCCTCCGGCTATACCGCTAGCAAGCACAACTAGTTTATAGAACGTCTCAGTCCAGCGAATCGAGCCGCTCCGGCGGGGCAGCTGTCGAGGGTGTCCTGAAGACCAGCGGTGCTGCTGCAGTTTATTTATGGGGAGGGTACTTAGCTTTGGAGGTCTATTCTGTGCAAGCTGGCCCGGCCTGTACGTGCTGGTTGCAACGCGTATACCACCCCGGGAAATTCGTGCTCGAAGGGTAGGCTGCTGTGTGGGTCGTGGCCACTTCAAGCCTTGACCTGCTGCGTGGCCTTCAAGCCAGGCCCTTGGCGTGGGGCGAGGCGGCACTGAGTGGTGACCTCTGCCGAGGCCTCCTTGCATATTCACACCTAGACCCATGCCTGCAGCTGGGTGCATGGCGGGGGCAGATTCGGCTTGGTGCAAGTGAGAGGGTGTAGCTGCATTTGGGGCCGAGGGGCCTCCACTTGTGGCACTCCTGAGCGTCCATGCACAGGGCCAGGATTGGCTCCCGAGGAGGACGATGCGGTGTGCTCACCTTCAGCGGCTTGCATCCAAGCAGGTCCGGTGGGGATCACGAACACCGATACTTCTCTCACCCTCACTGCCTCAGGGGAGATGTGGACTCTCACCCTAACATCCGGCTGAAGGTGTGGACCAACAGTCTCCACAAGATCAACTTCAAGATTAGTGGGTAGATTGCGTCCTTGATATCGGATGGGCGGAGAGGGCCAGAGTTCACGCCTCGGTTGTTTCCGTGGTGGTGGCGGTGATGGATCGTCGTTTTTCCATCGCGCCACACATTCCAAGCGTCAAAAGGTAGCAAAGAAACCATGGCCGCATGATGTGCATAGCTGGGTCAGCCCAGATATCTTCTCCGGATGGAGGAACTGCAGCTACCCCGCACACGCTACAAACAAAATCGAGCCGTGGTGCTTACTACTACTACTACTACTACTACTACTACTACTACTACTACTACTATTACTACTACTACTACTACTACTACTACTACTACTACTACTACTGCTACTACTACTTCTACTTTGCTACTGCTACTGCTACTGCTACTACTACTGCTGCTACTGCTACTACTACTACTACTACTACTACTACTACTACTACTACTACTACTACTACTACTACTACTACTACTACTACTAACACTAACACGAACACGAGCACGAACACGAACACGAACACGAACACGAACACTAACACTAACACTAACACTAACAACAACAACAACTACAACTACTACTACTACTACTACTACTACTAGTACTACTAGTACTACTAGTACTACTAGTACTACTAGTACTACTAGTACTACTAGTACTACTACTACTACTACTACTACTACTACTACTACTACTACTACTACTACTACTACTAACACTAACACTAGCACTAGCACTAGCACTAGCACTAGCACTAGCACTAACACTAACACTAACACTAACACTAACACGAACACTAACACTAACACGAACACTAATTACTACTACTACTACTACTACTACTACTACTACTACTACTACTACTACCACTACTATTGCTGCTACTACTACTACTACTACTACTACTACTACTACGACGACTATGACTACTTCTTACTACTGCTCACGACGAAGCGAGCAAAGCGCACGAAGCCTGCGCAGCGCGCAAAGCCCGCGAAGCTTGCGCAGCGCGCGAAGGGCACAAAGCCTGCGAAGCCCGCGAGCAAAGCGCATGAAGCACGCGAAGCCTGCGAAGCGTGCGAAGCCCGCGAAGCCTGCGAAGCGCTCAAGGACCGCGAAGCGCGCCAAGCAAGCGAAGCCCGGGAAGCGCGCCAAGCGCGCGAAGCGCGCGTGCGCGCGTAGGGCGGCCCCCAGGCGGACCATAGTCGGGATTTCTGTTTTTGATTCTTACGATTATAGGGTTTAGAGTTTCGGGTGTTGTTGTTTGTGTCGTAAGATTTTAAGGTTAATTAAGGGTTTAGGCCTTTGGTGCTTGCGCCTGAAGATTCCAAGGTTAAGAGCTTAGGGTTTGTTGTTTAAGCCCTAAGGGCATAGGGCTGAGGGCTCATAGGGTGTTGCTGCTGAAGTCTTCAGATTTTGGGGTGAAGGGGCCTAAGATGGTGCTCGAATCTTCACATGTTTCGGGTTAAGGGTTCACGGTTTTGGTACTTAAGTCCTAAGAATTCGGGGTTCTTGGTGTATAGGATCTTAAGATTTTCGGGTTGACGGTGTAAGATTTGGGCATGTAAACCTTTTGGCTTAGGTTTTGGGTGTGTATTATAAACCTGTGGCGGTAGGGTTATGGGTTTAGGGTTTTGGTGTTTGGATTTAAATGAAGTCTTAGGGTGAAAAGCTGAATGGTTTGGGTGCCTAATGCTAGGTTTTGGCGCGTAAGTGTCGAGATGTTTAGGGCTCAGGGCTGAAGCTTGCTCAAGCCATACGATTCTAGGGTTAAGGACTTTGCATTTTGTGTTTAAGCCTTACGTAGGATTTCGAGATTGCAGTCCTTGATTCTTGCGATTATGGGGTTAGGAGCTTAGGGTTTTGGTGTTTGTGCCTTGATATTTTTGGCATCCCCATAGCCCGCGACAGCCCGTAGGCCCTCAAGCTCACAAGCAGCGGATCTCCGAATTCGTCTTGTTCTTTAACTCGCGAAAGAATCGCTAGTGCGACAGTCCGTCGTTGCGCACGTGCGCGCGCGTGAAACTTTCAACCTTTTTGACACACTACTCAAACATTCAAACTCGTCTTGTTTCAAATTCTTGAACCGCAAGCTCGAATGGCCGTCACACGATCGTTTTCTCAAACTTTGAACCCGCAAAAGAGTTAAACTTTTCAGATTCGAGCAGTCTTCAAACTTGAAACTTTCAAGCTCCAAAAATTTTCGAACGTTCAAACTCGCAGAGTCGTGGCCGACGCATGACCCGGTTCGACACATGCACATGCTTCGAAAGCAGTCTGCGTGTACATGGAATTGTGTGTGCTATCGCGACAGTGCCTTGCGCTTTTGCAGCTTCGGTGGTTGTGGGGTGGAATAACCAAAACGCGCCAATTCATCATTGTGGGACATGTGCTTTCAAGGCGGGGCTTCGGATTTGTAGGTGTTTTTTTTGTCTCCAATCCCGTTTCGCATTTTGAACAATCAACAGCCAACATTCAGGCCAGATAGGACGAAGACTTTTTATCCATCGGATGCTCGGGCTATTGTTAAAAGGCCGGGTTAGCCGTAGCATTGTTGGACATGGGTAGGTTTGTTTGAAAAGTTGTAGATGTTGCAAAAGGTCAGAAATGGCGCTGTTGGAGCGTTTGGTCACATATTGACGGAATTGCAACCGTTTTCAGGACGCAACCTTGTTGAACAAACAATCGTGGGTAGTGTTCTCTGATGCAGATGCGTCGGCTTAAGTAACAGCTGCATGCATGTCTCGTTTCATCCAATATTTACGTTTTGTTTGTGCATATACCAATGAGGGATATCCTTCACCTGCATTCTTACTTACGTATATACGTAGTGCGTAGAACAAGTGGAGCTACAGCTGCTCACGCATGGAGCGGCATGTTGCAGGCCAGGGTACTGGTTAAAAAACAAAAGAAAGTGTCACATTGGCCGGCAGGAAGATGACGCAGATGCGGACGATGAGGACTGCTTTCTTGTGTGCATCACCTGTTATGTTTGGCGGAAAAAATTGACCACTGATTTGGTTGGGCAAAGCATTTCCAGGATGCCGTGTTTGCAGATTCTGCAGACCCCGCACATTCTCCTGTTTCACCTGGTTCTTCTTTGTCAGATAGCCGTGGAGACACGGTGCGCCCGCTTTTGTGCATATCAGTGTCGAGTTGAAGCTTGGACGCTTTGCAGATTCGCGTATTTGTTCGTGTCCGCCCACTGCATGTTCGCGAGGACAGACTGTGTGATGCTGTACTGATGCTGTTCGGCAACAAAAGACGTGATTCGAGCAATGAGTATTTCGACACTTCTGATTTTGTGATTTCAGCATGCCAGGATTCTGCTCACATGCGGGACAGCATCTATGTGGATGCAGAATCTGGAACTGCTCGGGCCTCGTGATTCTGGTTCAAAAGTGTATGTGTGTATGTGAGCCTTGAGGGAGTTGTCATGTGTGAGCTTTCATGTTGATTTCGGATGTGATTGCTGCACTTTAGAGAGGGAGATGCTGTGTGTGAAGCTTCCATGCGGTGATGCGGCATTACGGCTCAAGCAGAAGATTATGCTCCATGCATTCCATGCGCAGCCTTGCTTGCTGCACCTCGGAGTATGTATTGCAGGACTGTTCGGGTGATGTTGCTAACAGTCTCGACCTTCCTGAGGTTGACTTGCCTGAGTTTGGCATTATGCGAAGACGTGTCCATAAGAACGGATGATTCCGGTGGCCTGATTGGAATCTGAAACTGGCAGCGTCGTTTTGAGAGAGCTTTTGGTGAAAGTGAACGTCCAATCAAGGTGGGTTCTCCTCCGGAGTGCCTTTCAAGGAATGGCTTTACCGCTTGGAAATTAAGGTGGGACATGTGCTTGGCTGAGCTTGACAGCTTGCTTGGCTTTCGGCCTCGTGTGTGTGAGGTGCCGAATGCTGGTGACAGCCCTTTCAGCAATCCGCTGCAGCTTGCTGGTGGCAATTGTAGCAAGACGAGGACTTGCTGCCAGCAGCTTTGCAAGCGATACAGCAGTAGCAAGTGTCACGACGTGGTGTCGTTGTGTGCGTTACTGGGCCGTTCGGGCACAACCACATCCAAGCAAGGGCATGCAGCATGCAACATATGAAGCTGTAAGACCCATAGAACACGCAACATCTGTGGTTGAGGCTATGTTTTCAGAGTGTTGTCGAAGTTCAGACAGTTGCCGCATCGGTGTGGCAGCATTCTTGATTGAGCGCACTGTCGTTTGGCTAGCGTGTGCCGCAAGGATTGCAAATGTGAAGGTGCAACTTCGTTCACGTTCTTGTTTGTGCTGCGTCGCGGCGCAAATCGCATTACCCCTTTTGATCAGACAATGCTGTGGGAACACAGTGAAGCCGTTGCAGGCAACCGATTTGACTACAAATGCCCTTTCACCAGCTGTGAGACTGCAGGCATGTTGTGATGCTGCTTCTGTTGACAGATGTGCCCACGGAGCTTCATAACCCATTGGAACGTTCATGAAGTCACATGCATGCGTGTCGTGGCCACAGGTTGCAGCCAACCTGCACTGCGTCATTCTTGCTAGTGGCGGCAGCCTGGTGATAAGCCAAACCCTAAGACATGCTCGATGCTTTCTGCTTCAGTGGCATCCCCCACAAGTTCATGACAGCACAATGAAGATCCATTCACCACAAACCAATGCTAGGGTTGATTGGAGAGCGCTAGTGGTGTTTCTCTCCATACTCTTGACGTGGACAGGCTGACGCATCAATCAAGTGTGCAGCCGAAACAGAGATGATTGGGAAGCAATCGCATGTCTGTGCTCAGCTCGAGGCTTCTTTCTGGAGAATGCCACTGCCGACTTGAGTTTCTCGGTTGCCAAGCTGCAGCTAGTTCGCCTGATCCGCGCCAAGTATCAATCGTTGAATGACATTGCCAGTGCCACACTTGCATGCGTGTGCAGGCATGTACTATCATGTACTCATGTAATCGTCAATAATCGTCATGTAGAATGACTGACTGGTTACAACCCAAACACAGGTAGACCCTGTCCAGCCACCTGGTTCAACCTTGGCTGTGCCTCTAGGCGCAAGTTGTGCCTGCCAAGCTGAACGTTTGCTATTCTCAACAGGCAAATGCTTTGGCTCCCAGCCAGGTCAGGTGAGGGTCACACATTGCGCTGTTGGAGTGTCCTGCCTTAATTAGCTGTTTCTCACTTTTGTTTTGGTGTCGGGGTACGCAAGCATCTTGCCAGTCCGTTGAACGCGTGTCAGACATGTCAGGTTGTTGTCTTTATATTTTGTCTCACGCCATCTGCGCCAATGAGGTGGCGTGTATGTAGTAGAATGTGTTATAACATGTGGTTGCGTTCCCTCCTGCCCTTGCCCCCCCCTCCCAATGCAAAAGACAAGGGCACCAGGTAAAAGTGTCCCAACCTTGCAGACGCTTCGTGTCGCACACTGCACCTTTGATTGAACTATGCGTAAATTGCAGATCTAATGACTTCCGTGGCTCAACAGATGACAGAGAGCCCCGGACGGACACGTGTGATTCACTTCACACTTTTGTTCCGCATCATTGCGCATCCATGGCGCCCATACATTTCGAGACTTACAAACGACCACCAAGCACGTGGTTCTTTGGCAACAGCCGCCACCACCACCGTGAAACCGGCCACAACCCACAAGAAGAGGGCTGTAAACCTTGTCAAAGCAAAACGAGAACTCCGACAAGAAATGCAACAAAGCTCGTCCAGGTTTATGTTCTAGCGGCCGTGCATTTGTTTTATGGGGAAATGAAATCTGAGAGACGCATGAAGCTTTTTCAACGCCGCAGAACAACTGGGATCCGTCACGTGTAAACGTTGGTTCGTTTTCCTTCGCATGTCCCTGCTTTGTCATTTGCAGCCTTGCGTTTGAAGATTCAATGCCTAACTTGGCTAAGGATGGCAGCAACACTTACCCTTACCCCTCAGTCTCCAGCATGAGCCCGAGACCCCAAACTCCACAACTCCCCCTTAAAGCTCTGCAACCTAAAGCCTGAAGACGCAGCACCACACGGTGAAGTGGCACTCGGCACAGCACTGGGCCATACACATTGGACACGCTTACTTTCTACCCGCAGTGGGTGTGGACTCTCAACCCACGGCAAATCGGATCTTTCTCGCCCTTGTCCGTATTCACGTTTATCGAAGCGGTTTTCTGGCTAGCCATTGTGTTGCAGCCTCGTCGAAAGGATCGAATGCCAGGGCATCCTGCATAAGGTATGACTATCTGCATCAACACTGATTTGGCATGTTGAGTACTGACCAACTGTGTCAGTGATTTTCTGGTGAGGTGGCAATGAGCCGGCTGCGATTCAGCGGTTCATTCATGTTTGAGTCCGCGCTGACTCAGCTGGAACCTGCGCTGCAGCAGTTTGTGAACCAGGACACGGTCACGTGAGTCACGTGTGAACTGTCTGCTTTCACTTTCACCATGATGTTTGCGGCGAGGAGCTCCCGAGTGTGGCATGCTCACAAATTTCACCGCTTTTGGAACAGCAGGCTCGATGTTGTCGATGCACTTTGCACGGGAGTCCAACTTCGACTTCGTGAGGCGACTGCAGCGTTGGCATCTGTTCTGACCCAGGTGGAGCCACTGCTGACAGGTAGGGTTGCTTCAGTCTCTGCAGATTTTGCAGAAAGCTCGATATGTTGACGAGGACATCATCAGCTTCCACCAGCGCCCCATCCTGTTGGCAGCCTGGTGCCTAAATGCACATGGAATCTTTGTCATGCTAATGACGTCGAAGATTCGAAACCAAGATGTGGTTGACTGGTCCAGCTTCCCACCAGCTCGCCTTCTCCACGGACTAATCAAGAGCAAACAAGGCAGATCAGAGAGTTGACAAACAGATGGTCTTCAAAGCAGCGCCTTCGCAGGCGTCGTGGCAAGCTTGATGAAGCGAATCTCTGCGCAGAAGGCCCCGCTTCGGGGCCGCCACAGCTGCACTGTCAGCTTCCTGTTTCCTTCAAGGTGCCATTGGACGAGCTACACATCAATCGCAGCATCATTGTTGACGCCCTGGGAACGACCTTCCGCAGCTATTTGCAGGCAGCATGCGTTTATCGTTGCTTGTCGTTGTTTCCTGTTCTTGCGTTTCTCTGGCAAGGAGGTGACAGTGGAAGGCTTGGCTTCGGGCTCAGCTTAAACTACATGAACATTTACAATTCATGCTGCAAATCGGCCTAGTGTGGTGTCCGGTACATGAGAAATAAAGGCTACACACACATGTTTTTCGATGCTGCACTTGCTTCCACGGCTAAGGACAGCTTTGTGGAAGGAAGCTTGGATGTGCGTGGACATGGTCAGATCTTGACATCCACAGCCTCATTTAGTGATCTGAGATTTTCGGTAAAAATACAGGCTGCTTATCTGCACACTGGCAATGAATGTCCATGCCTCTCTCGCAACAGCAGTTTTGCCAACAGTCGTGATGGTTACGCATCTGCCAGGCTCAGTTGGAATCTGTAGATCGACGATCATTGAAGCAAGCGGTTGGGTTGCATTGTGGGCGTGCAGATCAACTGCGCAGGCTTCGCTAGCTTTGTTTGCCTCTCACTCCGGCTGCGGCTGGTCTTCTTTCAAGACTCAGGCTCTCCCTCTTCTAGAAAACTTTGAGATGTTGGTTGAATTGGGCAACATCAGCGCAGAGACGGATGTCCTTGCCATGGTCTCCCAGGAGGCACGTGAAGCATCAGTTTTGAAAGTGACAAACGCAGATACTTGTATATCATATGGTTTATGTGAGTGCTTGGCTGCAGATGCTGCAGGATCTTGTATGCAGACTGCGAATCCAGACTTGTCTGAGGCCTTGGCGGCTTTGGAGGTGGACCAGTTCCAGAAGCTCGAGTGCTTGGTGACCTGCGCACGTGGGGCAGCCTTGGGGCCAGAGGCACCGGTGGCTCTGCGCAGGTGCGTTGCAACATGTTGCAGCATGTTGCAGCATGTTGCAGCAGGATGGGGCGGCTTTTGTTTGTCTTTGTTGTTTGTCCCAGTTTGTCCCTTCTTTCTCGGTGTTGCTTTGGCGCGCCGTCTCATCATGTCTCTCGCAGGTTTGAGATCCAGAACATGACGATCCCCATGGCTCGTTTTTTGGCCCAAGCCTGCAGATTCATGATGCCGCTGCTGGGGCACCATATGAAGTTGTTCCTTCCCTGGACGTAAGGTATGATTGGTGGTGATTCCCTTGGAGATGATCTTGCGGCTGCGATGACTGCAATGCTAAGGTGGGCTGAGATCAAAAGTGGAAGCTGGGCATGAACATGTTGCAAAGCACGTTGAAAGGGCAACTCTCCATGGCTATGCCGCCTCAATTCCGAAGATCATTCAGGCCTGGGCCAAGTATCATGTAAGCTTCTGTAAACTTCGAGCACTTCAGTGAAGAACAAGAGATGTGATTGTCCGACATTTCAAGCTTTGGTGCGGATCATTCCGGCAAGTCCTCCACGATAATCCTCCATGATGCGCTGAACGACATGGTGCAGCAAACGCTGGAGCAGACTCCGCCGTGCCAGAACACGGAGGTCTACTTCGGCCCTGAAGGCGGTTCGTCACGTTCTCTGGGCACTTTTTCCCGGTGCTTGGAAACTAGTTTTCCATTTGCCACAACGTGTTAGATCAATGGTGCCAGCGCCTTCAGATCTGTAATGTTGCCATTGCGTTGCGTTGTCCCTTGTGAGCCAAAGTATTCAGGATATATTCAGGATATTCTGAAGGCACGAATTCTTGCACGGTCGCCTGTGTCCATTCTTCAGTATCCTGCCAAGATCTCAAAATAAGGTATATTGAATATGTTGAGGTTGTTGGACCTTGACTAGGGAACGCAGTTTCGAGAGATTGAGGCCTTTATTGGTGAAGATATTTTCTGTTTGCTTGCTACCTTCCTTTGGTCATACGCGCTCGAGTAGCTATCAGCTGTCCTATGTATGCGATTGATATGCCTAAAACCCAAGAAGGCTTGGTCAACATGTTCCTGCTCCTGGCTTCTTTGTTGCTGGCACTGCCACGGGGCTGCAAGAAGCCGTTTTTCGAAGTTGCAAGCGGCCGATGCCCACAATTGCCAGTGTTGACATGATGCAAGTTCTCACGCAATGTCTTGATCTTCAGGATCGGCGTGGTGTCTGGGATAGGAGCTGAAATGCGGAGTGACGAAGACGATGAACGCTGGGGCCGGGGCCAGAAGGGTTTGCGCACCTTAGTCATCGTTGCGCTGTTGCCCTGCAGGTCGTTTTTGCAACAAATCGTCTTTGGCAGCTTGTCCAGCTGTCCCACGCGGCGTGTCGGTGGGGTATCCGTTCTTTCTGGCCCATTTCTCAGATGCCTGATCCTCGACAAGATGCGAAGCCGGCGTCTCCAGTATGTGCAGGTTGCCACCATGTTCCTGTTTCTCTATTCTGATCTGGGATTGGGAACAGCCCCGAGCACAGATACCAGAGTTCTTGGCTGTAGGAGTGGAGCTTTTTACAGAAGCAGTTGCGAGGTCATAAACATTGTCTTTCAAGCTGGCTCGGAGCGCATGAAAGTTGGTCCAGCATTTTCCTTTTCGGCTCCCTGGCAAATTTGATGGCCCGGCCGCTTTCGAAGAACGTTTCCTAGCGCAGACTGGTTTGATGATTCAGGTATTGACACTTTCTCGAGACAGCCTGCGAGGAGGTGCTTCTCCTGCAAGAACCTTCCAGATGCTTTGCGCCATTCCATCATGTGAATGTCTGTGGGTGCCCACCCCTGTATCCGACTGACAGCAGGTGCATGGCTGTTGGCTGTCTTTATAGTTGGACTGAGCGGCGCCCGGTCCTGAGACGTGCGGGCTGCGCGTGCTGTAGCCTGCCATGCTTCGGTGAATCAGCGCTGTATCTGCGGTCGTGGCACGGAAATGGTCGCGTGCAGTGGGAAGTGTTCTGCAGGTTTGGCCTTTCGTCAAGCTCGGGCTGCTGTTGCATGTGTGGCTGGCGCCAACCACAAGTCTGAGACCGAAACTCGGTCGCGTATTGGGTTTGGCCGAGATTCTAAGGGGGTCGTCTTGATAGGACTTAGGAGGACTCTTCTCTTCCCGTTCATGGTTCATTGTCCCTTGCCGTGCTCTTCTTCGTATCTGTCTTCTGCTTCCTGTTGCGAGTTGCTAGTGACTTGACTGTGTGCTTCGCGGTATGTTCCCTTCACTCTGAGAGCGATTTGCGCCTGCTGCGCATCGCTGCTTCGCAACGAAAACGTTTACGGAGCTCCTTATGGACCGAAGGCTTCCTGCTACTCCGTCCGAAGCTTCAGAATGCAAACCAGGCTCCCATGCTTGCCTGGAAGCCATGTGAGGTACATGATACACATGAGCATCAACAGAATGCTCCCACTCTCCCAAAGGAAACAGCTTGTGAAGCTGCTCCACTTTCCCAAATTCTCATCCACCGTCGCAATCATGGTTTCATCTACGTGAGATCCACCAAGTGGCCGCCTTCATGCACAAGCATGCCTTAACTCGTGAATGCATGCAACAAGGTGTCAAACCAAGCTCAGGTCTCAGGCTAGGGAATAAACAGCTCGCCGTCGCTTTTTCGTCCTTGAATACAGGCATTGCTAACATGAAACACGGCCTCGGCTGGGCCGGTGAGGCATAGAAAGCAGGACCGGAAAGACACTTCAATCTCCGGCGACTTGTGAGGGGGGGAAGCCGCCAGAAGACCCATGCGGACCTCAGCTGCTTTTTTGGAGGTGGGGTGGCGCTAGGAGATGAAAGGAACGTGAAGGTTTCTCGACGTGGGCTAGACGCGTGGGCAAGCCCGAGGCTGAGGGACTCAGGGCCTTGTGAGGGAGTCCTAAAGAAGGGCCTAGGAGCGGGAGCAGCAGTTTATTGTAAGCTGACCATCAAACCTGGTCTCCAATAACGACTATGCGTCAGGGAGACGTGGGTCACGGCACTCTTGTCAGAAAAAAATGCGTCGTGTGATCCTTAAGCCAGCCAACACGACCAAGCAAGTCAAGTGTAGCTTGTCCACAGCAAACAAGCACCAAATCTCCCATCGCGAATGTGAAACCAGTCAAAACTGACCATGTCACGAAGCTGGCTCAGATGAGAATGCAACCCACATTTTCTGTTCACAACACAGAGGGCCTCGTTCACAAGACCTGTCCCTACACCGAAAACCAGGCCAATGAATACAGCAAGCACGAATGACACTCTGCCCGGTTGCTTCACAGCTTTGGGACTGACTGGTCACTCCAACACGACCGCTGTTGGTTCTTGATTTTGTTGCGAATTTGGCCGGGATACTTATGTTCCTCTACGAATCCATTGCGTTCCGCTGAAGCGCACAGGGCTCCCACCCCACCCCCCACCACCCCCCACTCCTCCCACCCCCCCACCCCACGCAAAGACACCACCCGAACACCAATTGCCTCCTTCCCTCCACCCCTTCCAGCGAAGATTGTCGATGGGGTTCAGGGCTGCCGAAGCTCTTACTTGCGGTTTTCATTTTCGTGTTTGTCGTTGAACCGGATACCTTAAAGGGTCGGGAATGCCTAGCGCAGACATGTCCTTTTGTTCGGGGTTGCTCAGTACAGAGTTCCTTCTGAGGTTAGGGTTGCGCAGTACACACATTCCTATCGTGGTTACCTCAACTGAAAAGCCCCCGAAACGCTGGAAGATGGAGGCAAGTCCTAACTTGGGATCTAGCCTGTGAGTGGCATGTTGTTGGGAAGAAAGACCCCACCTCGGAGCCCGAACCTTGGAAGCCTCACATCCCCGACCCGAACCTCAGCTAGAACACTCTCCCCCCCCCACCCACATGTCGCGGTAGGTCGACTCGGAACCCGAACCTTTCGGGTACAGGCAGCTCGTTTTTTCACATGTTCCATTCTGATGCGCTAACTCAGATGACGAACCGCCAGTCCCGCACCAGTGCACAAGCACAGTGCTTCCCCCCTCTCCCCTTACCCCCGACCCCCCCCCCCTCTCCCCTCCCCCCTCTCCCCTTCCAACCTCTCATCCAGCTCCCCCCCTCTCGCTCCCCACGCATTGTAGTAACCGTGCACGCTTAGGCCGGCTTCGGATGCCAACCAACCTAGGTCTAACACAAGGATACCAACCCCCTGAATCGGGGACGTCTTCAGTCCCCAACTTGCTCGCTGAGTGCTGCCGCCACCACAGCAAGCACCACAAACATCACGCTCGTATGGACCTGGAGTGAAACGACATAGTGGGCAGACCTGGGAACCCCAGAAGCTCTCTTCAACTCTCTTCTAACTCACATATGTGGACATCGGTTTGCAACCAGGCAGAGTCAGCCACAATTCGCATTTACCAACGGAAGCCCTCATAAAGCGTCGAACACGAGCGCTAGCTGTAAATCTATTGGTGTCAGTGGGAGTAGTGGCGGTGGTGGTGGTGGTGGTGGTGGTAGTAGGAGTTGCTTTCTTCTTGCGCAAGGTCTCGACGCAGCCGAATGCTGCTGTTCTTAGATGAGTATGGAAAGATACTTGGATTTCATTTAGCAAGCTTCATTGGGCAGTTTCACGTCAGATGCAGGGAGTGGCCAGTCCAGTCGTATTCGCCTTCGAAACAGCAGAATCAGAATCTGCATTGTTCTGCTTGCGTGGCATTATGTGAGAATGTTCCTAGGTACAGCCTAGTTGACTCATGGCTCGCCATCCTTGCCCTTTGTGCCTTTGATATCAAATGGTTCGGGGAGGAGTGCCCGTCCAGCAGAAACGCTCATTTGCCATGTCCTGAAATGTGTCGGACCAGGCGCATCCCTGTCAGGACGTTTCTGTACAAGTGACCCCGGTGCCGATGCTTCCATTTTTCACCTTCGTCATAGCAAGTGTGCTGTCATTGGTCCTTGGCCACATCGCGACAGAGCTGAACAGGCAAGAAGTACGACCTGCTACTTGCCAGTTTTTTTTTGTTGACTGTTCACTCTGTCCTAACAGTGACGTTTTTTCCTGCAGGCGAAGTTTGGAGGACGCCCTACCATCGAGGCAGTCTTCCCGAAGAAGCATCGAGTCCGGGCCACGAAACAGCCTGTGGCGTGGACTTTCTCGAGGTGCCTTGCTTATGCGGTAAAAAAAAGGGAGTATCGTTTGCCATCTGATCGTTCAACGCATGGCCAATCGTTGATTGAACAATCCAGGCCATGCAGCTCTACTTCTGTCGCTGACTCTTCTGACTGGCATCGCTTTGGTTGGTGCAGCGCCTCTGACATCTCTGCAGTACAAGGCCGTTCTCTCGTGCATGCATCATTTCTTCCCTGTCATTCATGTGCATTCATGACAGCATAGGGGTGACGGCAGCTGTAATGCTTGTTTATAGCAGGGCCGCTATATTCAAGCCAATGCGTAGCATGCCAGGCTGCCCAGACTAATCGATGTAGTACTAGCCGTTGCTTTCACTGGCGCATGTCCCTGCTTGAGTTGTGCATCAGGCCATCATATAAACACCTGTGACACTTCTCACACAGAGTGGAAGCCGCATTGCCGGATGATGAGGTGTCTGGTGTGATTGCCGACCTGCTGCTGAATCCCGAGGTGCGGGAGACATGAGGAAGATTGAGAAGAAGCCCAGTCTTCCTCTTTTTGAAGGAAAAGTAGTGGACAAGTACAAGCAATCAAAAGTAGTTCAACCAAGTCTCTCTCGTTGGCCTTCTCACTGGCTCTCGCAGACATGTCTTGTCAACCGTGTTTGCGAAATGTTTTGTTTCGTCTCACAGAAGCATGGGGACTTGCCCCGATGGATAAATCAGGACATGGTACCACCGGTTCTCTGCAGTTTCTCTGCCACCAGGAGAAAGATCTGAAGTACAGCCTTGTCAGCTTGGGCACGTTCTTAACGACCGGCTTTCAAGAGTCTGCAACTGGACTGCATTGATGACATATGCCGAGAACTCTTGAGCAGAAGTGCACTTTTTCCATACTTTCTCCTGAGGGTGGCTTGCACGTAGTTCAGCTCATTTTCTTCACCTTCACCCTGGACCGGCTCTGAGCGTCTGATGCCTTCGTTCGTCCTACCAATCTCTGACATTCACGATTTGAGCTCCGCGTGCTTCGCAGGCCATTCCACTGCTGCTGGTCTTTGCTGTTCTGGCGCTTCTGCTGATGCCCATGAAACGAACTCAGCACATTTTTCTCTGGAAACTCTGCCATGTGCTGGATGTTCCTTGGAAGCAGAATGTGCAAGTCCTCTCGGTTCGAATGAAAATGTGCAGTTTCTTAGGCTTGGGCAGCTTTTGATGTTTTTGTCCTGGCGGTCGCAGTGGCAAACTTCGAATTCTGGATATTCACCAATTTTCTGATCTATCACGACAATTTGGCTGCCGCATGTGGATGGGCCGCCCTGCAGCAAGTGTGAGTGTGAGCGATGAGCGGTGAGCGCGTGAGCAAGTGAGCAAGTGAGCGAGGGAGCGAGGGAGCGAGTGAGTGAGCGAGTGAGCCACTGTGTGTGTGTGTGTGAACCTGTCCATAAGCAGGGGTCGTTTTGACCCTTCAGGGTACCGGTGAACTACGCAGTTGATGCCCTGTTGCCCAACGAAGATGTTGCAGCAAACAGACCTGACGCATATTGAGCCCTGCAACCCAGTGTTGTCGTGGTAGTTGCAGCATCACCCCTCAAGTCGAGCCAAATCAAAGACACTTCTGCCATGTTGACGTTGCCATATTTCTGAATATCTACTAGATGATTAGCAAGACTTCTGTCGGTGAGGGGCAGGGATTCAACAACTGATCAAGCTCTGCGTGTCTTACAGCACCTGGCTCTGCTGGTTGCTGCTTGTACTCCTTGAAGCTTGTCTCCAGGTGCGTGAAAACCTTGAGCTAGAGTGTTTGGCCATGGAATGCCTCGCCCTTAATTGCCAACGAACATAAGCAGATGTCCAAGCACTGTACGTGGAGTACCGCTGTGGATGCTGAGTGCAAGGTCACGTACTTCCGGGGTTCTCTCTCCTTGCTGCAGCAGGCCGCTGCGACCTGTGCAAGCTTTTGCTGGGTTTGTGTGCCGAAGGATGTCAGGAAACCTCAGGCGTTGAGAATTCTTTCGGCGAAATGTTGTTTTTAGCAGGCTAGGGAGGCCAAATTTTGCCCTTCAGAAGGTTGCGCCTCTCTTGTTGCCTCTTGCAGCTCAGACGGGCAAGCCAGGGAGGTTCAGAGGCGGGCAACTGTATTTCGGAGTATGCCCCCGGAATGTTGCCTTTTGAGGGATTCGAAGCTTAAGGGCTTCCCGGAAAAGAGGTTTCACGGTTAGCGAGCCCCGCTGACACATTTTGGTTGTACAAGCCGAATCCCACTGGTGTTTATGTGGGCTTCTTGGTAGGGGCTTCACCGGGGGCCTTGCAGGCGCGCTGGCAGGGTGACAATTTGCTGCGCAAGCCCATTTCACTGGTTACATAAGGGTCTCGAAGCTTATAAGGACTTCCCAGTAAAGGTTTCCCTGTTGGCGTGCCTGGCTGGGCCATGGTTTTTCGAATCCAAGTTTAGGAGCTCTTCTTTCAGGCGCTCAGTTACGAAGCGCTAAGCCCGAAACTTCAGCTGCAATCTTAACACTTGAGCCCCTCACTCCCCTTGGCGTATGTTGCTCTTAGTTTGGTCGAGGCGTTGGGTCGTATGCTGTCCCGAAGATGGTGCTTTCATCCTGCGAGGGTCTATTGGACCAGGCTGGTGCGGCATGGTGGGTTGAATATGGTTGAATGCCTCCCCGCCATTATCCGTGATCCTCGCCGCTCTTTTCCATACAGGCAGAGCCCATATCGGACAGCGATGATGAAGAGAGCGAGCTGCTCTGACGCGCTGCACGGGTGAGCTAATGAGTGACTGCTGGATGATTCGAGCAGAAAGGAGGTCACCTTGCTGGGCAAAGTTGCTTGTACTTTCCATAAGTTCTCTTGCTGATGGTTAAAACCCGAAGGCCTGCCGACAAGAAGCACAGCAAGTTCCAGCATGATGAAGTCACTAAAGTGTGTACAAGAACGTGTTTACCAGCATCGTTGGAGTCTAACTGAGGTGCAGTTGTTTGCCGAGCCCCCTCGCACCTTCACCTTTGACGGAGTGCTGCAAGAGCGCGGCCTTCAGCTCGCATAGTTGCGTGTAAAATGGGAAGTGTCAAACGTAACAGTTTCTTAGAGGTCTGCGGCACAAGAGGACGTCTTTCAGCTCTTTGGCACTAGTGTGGCTGAAGCCTGCCTGAGTGGGTCCAAGCCTGAAGACAGCATCTCACGTTCAGTGTGTGCCAAGTTGGGGAGATCGACATTCCCAAAACATCTCAACATGCAATGAAACTTGGAAGGTACAATGGCAGCATCTATGTTTATGGCCAGACAGGCAGTGGTAAGACCCACACCATGCAGGGAGAGGTGGCACCAACCTCAGAGGCTTAGGCTGCTGCGTTTGCTGACGCCTGCTGGTGCTGACCAAGGACTCTGTCCAGTCGATGCACAATGGTGTGCAGAGGCGGGAATGCCAGTGCCTTCCAGTTGCACAGGGTTTCCAGCCTTGGCACCTGAAGGGGATTGATGTGTCGCATACTGGACTATATCTTCGCGGAGATAGGCAGGGAGCTGTCACAACATCAGTAGCAGGTGCCCTTGTGTGGAGCAGGTCGCCGAAATCAGACCGCTGGAACGATTCAGCACAGCTGCAAATGCTCGTGCCTGGGCTCTGCACGATAGTATGTTGTGCTTTACATGCCAAGCAATGGGCTATGAAAAATGTTCAGTCCAGTCTCAGCCAGGTACCTTGAGATTTACAAGGACTTTGCTCGGGGATTGTGGGATCTCCGTTTTGAACTAGGTGCTAGCCTGCTCAGGGTGCTGAAATCATAATCTGCAGGAGCAGATTACAGATCTGTTGGAGCCAAGCTCCACCAATCTGCAGATCAGGGAGGCCTGCACGTCGTGTGTCTTCCCAAGTGGCCCTTCTTTACTGATGTTGAGGACATCAATCATGGTGTGTACGTGGAGAAGCTTAGCGAGCACTCCGTGTGGTCGGCATCGGACGCCTTCCACGTGGTTTGGAAGGCAATCCGCTGCCCTTGTAAGCATGTTCAATTGCAGGCCCCCATTGATTGGTTGGCTTTCTTCGCTTGCTGTTCTTTGCTTGCCTGGATAGCTATAAAGTGGCCATGTGGCTATTGAACCTCTCTCCTCGGAGCCAGGTGCGTGTCCTGGGCTAGAGTCAACCCACCTTTACCAATGCCGCTACCAAGCTCGTTACACCCGAAACCGTGCCTAAATGGAAGTCAACATTAGGTCATGATTGTTAGTAGTTTGTCTTTCGGGGTATCAGTTTTCGATCTTCTGGGCTGAAGAGTGGCCGGCTTGTCCCGCAGACTGTCAGCACCCCAAGCATCCCGCATCATCATCATCGTCATCATCATCATCATCATCCAGCCCGTTGTGGACAAGATGTGATGGGGCAGTTTTTGTTCTGTTCGTCTGCTAAGAGCGATTAGTATGCAGCTTTGGCAAGACTCGGCCAGACCACCAGCAAAACCCATGTAGTGCAGTGCAACCCCCCCTTGTCTTCGTTGGCAGGGGCCAAGATCACACAAATGACTTCAATGACAAAGCCACGCCACCAGGGCATCCTGGGCTCCTGCATGTCAAGTCTAGTAGGTCTAGCAGGGTCTGTTGTGCAGTTCCCTTCAGAAGCACAATTTTGGCAGATGAGGTCATGTCTTGGCTTTTGTCGACTTTTCGATGTCCGAGTTCAAGAGTTCGGGTCCTCGCTTGGCGAAGTCTTTGAATCTCTCATCCCTACTGATGCGCCAGGGGCTTCATCAGCGTCATGTAGCATCTACGCAGATGAACGAACTCAGTTCCAGGCAGGAGAAAGAGCCTGGTGTTGTCGGGTTTCTTTATGCCAGCTTGCAGGTCACATTCGGTGTTCACCCTGAAAGTGGAAGCTTCCAGTACCACAGCTGGTGGTGTTACCTCCACGAGAATAGCAAGGCAAGGTGCTATGACGGTTGCCGCCTTTTGCCATTGAAGTTCGCTGCCACATCCGAGCGCTTTTGAAGGCTTTAAGCTTCTTTGGCGTGTTGCCGCGCAGGCTGAATCTCATCGATCTGGCAGGGTCTGAGCGTCAAACTTTTGATCCACACCATCCTTCAGCGGTGCCTATCCTTCTGCCACGCCCAGCATGCTGCACCTTTGCTTCGCTTCCCTTTGCATGCCCTTCACCTGACTGTCCCCGCGCAGCACGAGAGCATCCGGGTGAAGGAGGCAGGTGCGATCAACAGAAGCCTGAGTGCCCTCACGAACGTCATCATGTCCCGTGCTTGCAGTAGCCTGCAGTGCCCGCTATTGCCTGCTTACTTAAGAAAAGCTCAGGTCCCTTTCGCGCGGGCGGCGCAAGGCCTCTGCCGCAGGGTCCGGGGCTCAAAACAATCGAAGAGAGCAAATGGAGCATAATCCTGCAACTGGGCAAGACGGTGCCAAGATCTGAGGCAGCGGCAGCCATTTGTGCGATATCGCGACAGTAGCACTGACTTGTTATTTGTGACATCAGGGCCACCTGTGGATAATGATCGCTCTCATGCCAGGCAAGTTGACATTCCTTCTGCGAGATTCTTTGGGTGGCAACTCGAAAACGGTCATCGTTGCCTGCATCTCTCCCTCCGTCACGGGCTTAATGTAGCTTAACGGCGACATCTTGTGGGCTGAGATCGACTGCTGCAGTTGAGTGTTGCGGAGTGTTTTGCCTGGGAGGCCATGTGTTTTGGAGAAACGTTGTCAACTCTGAAGTTTGCGGCCAGAGCGAAGCATATCCGCTGTGCGGTCGAGATCTTACCTTCCATCCACCTTCATCTGCCCTTGATGTGGGTTCATGCAAGGCCGTCATGAACGAGGAGTACTCTGGCACCGTGGAGTCTCTTGTTCTCGAGGTCACCGGGCTGCATGCTTAGCCCTCGGCTCCACAAAACATGCGGTAGTCTGTCTGCAGGTGAAAAGTCTACGCCAACAACTTGACTTGCTTTCAAGTTGCATGCTCAGAGCACGGAAGCCATACCCTGCCATGCCATGTCAAGTATGTTGTTGCGTGCTTTTCTCGAGGTCGAGGGCTGGCGACGGGGGTGGCTTCCCTCAGCTTTCTGAGGGCTTTGAGTGGCTAAGCGTATAGGGTCAGCTGATGCCAAGCTGCCACAGCAAGTTTGAGGCCGGTGACCATCAGACCAGGGCCCCCGCTTCCCCTTCGAGGCCTCCATTGCCACAAAGGGGGAAGTGAGCGAAGAGGACTTGATATGACCCGGTGCCCAGGACGCGTGACAAGCCAGGCGCATGGGCGTTCGGAGGTTTCCTTTTGCATCTGGCAACATCTCTCAGCTTTTACGTGTGGAGGCAGGGAGGAGGCCTCGGTGGTCGAGGCGTTGCGAGCGAAGAGATTTGACGAACTTGGACAGCCCCGCATAGCGCAGCTTCACGCGCCGTGCAATGTGGAAGTTTTCCATCGTGCCCTGTGAGGCTGCCCTTGAGGAAGCTCTTCAAGCAGGTGGCTCGGAAGATCTGTGCGCAACTGAGCCTGGACATTTCTGGACAGCGCACATGTTACGCCCACAGCATTCTTGCAATAAGATCAATATCGAAGCGCGTTGCCGCCTTCTGAAAGGCGATGCTTGTATGGCCCCAGACGCATCAGAAGGCGATGTCAACAATTCTTCTGGTTGACAGCACAGAGATCACCTCTCTGCTTCTCAGATCTTGAAAACTCGTTGGGGGGCTGTTGGGAGGTCTCTGGGAGCCAGTCGCACAGTCCTTGAAACTCAACACTGGCGATCATGGACAGGCTCGAAATTCTGTTGGCTGCGGTGTCTGCCTTGGCGCAGACTTTGCATGACGCTGCTGAAGCACTGATGGAACTGTGCAGCACCTTGTCTGAGGCCTTGGATCGCGAACGTCGCTGCGAGCTGCGACGACACAAGATGGACAAGGTCTCGCAGTGCGCCGCGCTGTACCAGAGTTACCAGAGCCTTGATGGCTTGTATGGCTTGTCAAATTTCGCCTGCGCATGTGCCGCGCCCGTAGGTTTTCTTTATACATGCTTTTCAGCTTACACTTTGCCATCATGAATGTAGATGCATTGAGCCTCTCTCGGAATGTCAAGCTCTTGCCTCCCGCCACACAATGCTTCGACACTATGCCTCAACGTACTGCAGCACTGATTGCAACCAGCCACATGCTACAGGAAGTAGTTGAGTCGCTACATGGCAGATGATTCCAAAGCAAATATGTTGACTTGATGGCCTCCTTGGATCATGACCCTGGACCTGAGCACGAGGACCAAAGTAGTGAGGGCAATGGGGTCGGTCACGCCGTTGTCATGCTGTCTGCAGGAATCAGGGCAATTTGCCTGTGGGCAGTCGAGTTCATCACGTTCTAGGCACGTTCTTGGGCCAAAGACATGTAAGCTTGCCCCGATGGGATCTTGAAAGAACTCTCTAAGAAGCTCTCTGTCTAGGCAGCATCGGGCCCAGACATGGAAAGCAGGCCGGAGCCGTATGGAGCAACAGAGAGGCGTGCACAGGCCTTCACTGCCATTATCGCATAAGGTCATCGCAATCACTGGCCAAGACCGCGAGTGCCACAATCACAGCACTGGACTCTGCCTTCACACAGCTTCACACCGCTGAGTGTGGTTGATGTTGATATTCGTGCTTTGTGTCAGGAGGGCTCGACCCACTCACTTCGTGGCAATACATCTAAAGTCGCGCGAAATCCAACGATGCGTGTCCGCACCTAAGAGTACATAACAGCAGGCAAACCTTGCGAAAAGAGCTGGGGGCATGCATGTCAGGGAACAGCTTCAACAGTGGTTCGTTGCTCAAGACAAGCTCTTCGAACGATGCCTGGTGCGCCCTGTGCGAGTTTCTTCGGAAATTCTCACGGCAGCCTTGAACCGTGCAGCACCGATGCAGGTTCCCATCAAGCGCCTTCACACAGCCCTTCTGCTTACTTCGTTTGAGGATCGCTGGAGACGGGTACTGACAGTGGTTATTTCTTGTGCTTGCACGTGGCTGAACCTTTGCAGGAGCCTCGCATCAGTGAAGCAAGACAGGTTTGTGCAGAGGCACCTGTGTCTTTGTGTCCAAGAAACCATGTACCATGGTCGCCACACTGACGCAATTTTTCCTTGGCAAAGATGGCCTCGGTAAGCTGAGGACATCAGAGTGCGGAAGTCACTGGAGACTACTGGTATCCACTTTTTTTCTCAGCCAGCCAGACACACACACACACACACATTCGCAAACACGAGTCTCGTAGAGATTCAAGGGCTTGGCCAGAATAAACTTCATATGCCAACTCAACTATTACGACCGCAAAAGAGTCACCCATGGTCACTCAGGTGGGCTTACGCATGTTGATTATGACAGGCTAGCTCAGAGGATTCGCCTCACATGGACGTGCAACGTGCAATGCCATAGTTAGAACACTTGTCGATTTCTGCCACGCTGCAGGCAGCTCGGAGCATCCGAGAGTTTCTAGGCAAGGTGTTGCTGTTCGGCGCACTTGTGATCGGAACGGTCTGCAAATGGCCACTGAGCATTGGAAAAGGTGGTGAACCTGTGCAGCTCAAGGCAGAAGGCATAGGTCCACTCCTGAAGACTACTGCTTGTATCCCAACTTTTTGGCGACCTGCCTGAAGCCACGAGGTTCCTTTGGTGGCCGTGTCGTCTTTGCACGGGTTCGGACCGAGCCGCCGGAACTCCTGCAGGCGCACAGAATCGCAAAGACGGGTTTCCGATTTCAGACCAGGGTGGTCAGATCCTGTCTCGTTGCTTCGATTCTGGAAGGCTATGCGTCACTTGCTCTGCAGGAGAGAGTCTTCCCCGTAGTTTCCGTCATTTGTCAGCAAGCTTCTATGCCGCTATGCCGACTGAAAGGATATTCATGCAGCACAACTTTCCCATCTTAGATGACACTGGTCAGGCCAGAAGCTTTTAAGGGAGACTTCATTCATGTTCAGGAACGTGTTCAGGCACACTCAGGCAACGTGTTCTCTGCTCTGCAGGCATGGCTGGCCCCTGGCGAGGACCGGCCTGCTAAGCTCATGCGATGTCGCTGCCTGTGCGACTGAAAGGAACCGCGGCAGTTCAACGGACATGCCAGCTTCCTCAAGGCGACAGAGCCAACGGTAGAATGTCCTGGTTGCAAGTTGTTGCACTTTTTGTTGCCCTTTCGTGCGGATGGAAGGTCACGAAAGCAATGGCTCACTCTAAGACTGACGCAGAGTCAGGAGCTTTGAATACAAGCCGTGCAGGGCGCTTTGGATACCTCTCCAGCCAAAGCACAGAGCCATAAGAGTTCAAAAAGGCGCTACGTGACACATGTAACTATGAATAGCCATTCAGCCGAGGTGGAAATCCTATCGGGCACTGCACGTGTCTGACGAGGAGCTCTTTGATCTTTTGGCCAGTGCAGCCATTATGAGAGCGCATCGCAAGTTTTGGGGAGCCACCGTGAAAGCTCTTATAGCCATGTTATAAGCAGTGTATCAGCGCTGGCAACAGTTGCCTGGTGAAGGGGTGTGTTGTCTGCAGACTCCACGGGTGCCGATGACTATAAACTGCATGGATACGTGGAGTTTGATTAAGCCGTGTTCTGGGGCTTGAGTGCTTTATGTGCTTTATGTGCTTTGTTTGACCACAAAGTAGTGCTGGCTGGCAGGACATTGCCAAGTGGAGCAGCGCCTGTCTTGGTACTCAGCTGTGTCGAAGCCTTGGTCGAGCGGAGTCAATGGAGTCATCTTGCTGAAGGAAATGCACAAAACCCAACTTCTAACTCTCTGTGTTGATGCAGGCTGTGACTTCGAATTGCTGTCCATTCTTGGGACGGCTCATGACGGTTACTACCCGCGGGGGCGCCCACATTGCTCGATGCTGCCAAAACAACAGATTGACAGTGGTATGTGCGTGTAGAGGCTTTTTTTTGTGGGCTTCAGGCGGATTAAAGTGGAGAAATTGCCTGGGGCAGAAAGTTCCATGCAGTCTGCCAGTTCCATGTGCCAGGCATCGCACCTTGGCTTGTGGCACGTGAGAGCTCGCGTGGCTGGCAGCTTTGCCTCGGCAATGCAATCAATACCTGGAAGGCTGATGACCAGCCGTTGATGACAGTGGAAGATGCAGTTGAGCAGGCCATGCTACAAAATGTGGCTGATGCCCTTTGGTTACACAGTCAGTTCATGACAAGGCTTGGAGATCAGGAGCGCCCGATGCACAGACCCCTGCCCGGAGCCTTGTGCCCTGATGGGGTCGAGGTAACGCGAGGCAACATGTAGGCAACATGTGAAAGGCGCTGAAAAAGGCCTTCCACTGGGTAAACCATGATAAGGCATCCGAGAGCCTGACCGGCGATGCCTCTCAGGATGGCTTGAGCTTGAGATAATTCTCACTACGTAAGTAAGTGCAATGTACTGCCGTAGTTGGTAAGACTGGTTGGAGTTGCTGCTTTGCTTGCAATTGACAGGAAAAAGCAGAAGTGATCGTGCGAGACTCCAAACGAAGGCCGGACGGTTGGCACACCAGATCGGCAGGGCCTAAACTTGAAATTGTTTGTGACTGGCTGGGTTTGAGGGAGCAGATAGATACAGTGGAAGTTGGCAATGTCCTCGCAAGTGCTCAGCTGAATGTATCCTCTGGCTTGCCATGGCATGCGGCCAAAGCCAGGCCCCGTCTGAACACAAAAAAAGAGCACCATCAGGTTGAAAAGATACCGCAAGTGGTGAAGCTCAAGTCAAGAACAATGCCTCATGTGTCAGGAGGTGCGTGTTTACATGCGCGTACAACGCTTGGCCCTCCCTGACCCGTGACATAACATCTGGGTTCCGTGCAGAGAAAGTCGGTCGGGCCATTTCGTGGGCCCTTGTCAATGGCTTGCTGGGCTTTAGGACCATGGCCATGGCCCACCTGATCCAATCAACGACTTGCACGGCTGGCCGGGCATCCGTGTCAGCGTTCATATGTGAAAGAAGAGGAGAGGAGAGGACGGTGCTTTACTCACTTGAGTCCGTCTGCAAAACATCATACTGACAGGTTGATGAGTTTCACCAAAGCTCCTGGAACATGTACAACAGACCACGCCAGACCACTTCCTGCAAAGATTGGTTATGGATTATCGGGCAGCTCCTTTTGTTGGATTAGTGACTGTGCTCACGTCCACTGCCCAAGTCCTGAAAGACAGGTTTGTTCAGCGACTCAGAAACTGGACGCGATTCAGGAAACCAGAGTTCAGGAAGCCAGGATTCAGGAAACTATGCGATTCAGAAACCAGGATTCAGGAAACTGCCCGATTCAGGAAACTGCGCGATTCAGGAAACCAGGCGATTCAGGGAACCACGCGATTCAGCAAACCACGCGATTCAGGAAACTACGCGAGGGGGCGGTGGGGGTGGGGGGGTGGGGATGATAAGGTCCGAATCCGCGCTCCAGTTTCCAAAATCACCCGTTCCACTTTCTCGAATCAGCGTTTTTCAGTTTAACGAATCCGCGCTTTCCAGTTTCTCGAATCAGCGGTTTCCGAATCCGTGTTTTCCGAATCCGTGTTTTCCCCAAACAGTCTAGTGTTAGGGGTTCTAAATTCATTTAAGGATTGCCGACATTCTGAGGACTGTTGCCGGGTTCCTGGGCTCCTTGTCCCCTTCGTCTCCCTTTGTCTCCCCTAGTCTCCCTTCACGCGGGTGGCTTTGCCGGATTGCTGTGCTCCTCGTCTCCCTTTGTCTCCCTTCGTCTCCCTTTGTCTCCCGCCGTCTCCACTGTTTCTTTGACGTGCCTTTCGGTGGTGTAATTCCAGTTTCCTGAATCGGCCGGTTTCCCGAATCCTGGTTTCCCGAATCCGCGTTTCCAGTTTCCGAATCCGCCTTTTCCAGTTTCCAGAATCAGGTTTTTCCAGTTTCCGCATCAGCAGGTTGGGTCGTCTCGGGCCTGACGTCTGGCAGGCAGCTTG